GACGCTGATGGTGTGTATTCCAAGAACAACGTGTAGGGGAAACATCACATCAAGGTGAAAAGAAAGGCATGTCCTCTGTTACAGCACTTACAACCTCTCTTTTCGGAGATGGGTGTGGACTGGCTGAGTCCCAGAATGTTGTTTTTTTTTTTGCTGAGGGAAGTGCAAGCCATCGTCAAGGGCAAAGACCAGTGGATACAGCGTCTGCTTTGGAGTTAGGCCAGATGGCATGTGACACAATGGGAAAGACACTGCAAAACAGTAGGGCATCTCAGGGACATTAGACAAACATTCCCGTAACATCTATTACTGTTTGTGCAGCAACAGTAATAGTAAAGTCAGAAACAGAAATAGAATAATGATAAAGTAACTGGATCTAAAAAACATAATGAAATGATCACTTTAACTAGGCACGTATTTTAACATTTTCTGCTTATATACACTCAAATAGAAAACCTTTGACATGTAGAGAAGTTAAACTGGGAATAACTGTAAATATCATTGTCATAATCACAATTCGAGTAGCCCTGAAACAAGAAAACATCCATGAACACCTATATATATGCATGCATACAGCCCCAACTCTTATCATCACATTAAAAACATGTGAATTGATAAATGACCAGTGTACTTCAAATGTAGGTTAATAAAAAAAATATCTTGTACAGCGAGGTACCATTATTCAAAAGCATGACTGAACAACACCGGAAGCACCCACACCCATGTTTTTGGGACAATTTTGTCTCAAAGATGTTTTTCAAGCAAAAAAGGGAGATAAACTGCCCCAGGGAGATACAGAAAAATGTCCATTACTAGCAATAACAACCAGCCTCCACCTGATGGTGCTACAACACAGTGTACATGAGAGGATGAAAGCCATTGCAGTGCAGGTTGAGTCTTTAAATAGCAGTGATGTACTTGTAAATCTCAGCACCATCATGAATCACCATCACACGGGAAACAGTTTAATCTACTCAGGAATGTAGAGCGTGACATGCTGGCAATAAATATTACACTTTCATGCTACACCATATGTCGACTGATGAACCACGACTTTGCTGCTGCAACGCAAAAAATAAGGAGGGATGTTACACATAATTCACCCCTGTAGCCAGAGCACTGCTGCCCTGTTTCTTTGATATTTAATTTTGACTAAGTGTTCAGTTGTTGAGTCATGGCCATGCAACAACCTTGGGAATCCTCTACAGTATGCTAAATATTCCCAAAAGCACTCAGGAGAAAATTGGAAGTGCCTTCATCTATTTTGCTTATGTAACACCTTGCCCAAAGATATGAGAGTGGCTGACACAGCAGACAATTTTAAAAAACTAAAAAATTATCCTTATGACAAATCTTCCAGTTCCCAGCAGTCTATTGCTCTTTTTTTTCATTACTGTTTGGTGATCATTATGGAGTACTGAGGTGGTTATAGTCATAAGATAAACTTAATCACATCTAGGCCAATTCCAAGATGAGTCTACGCACACCAAAGCCCTATTCAAGAATAATAATAAGCAATGAAGGCCTGCAGCTGTTTCCAAATACAAAAATCATGATTCTTATTAAGAGAGAACTATTATAAACCAATTGGAGTATTATATTTGTTTCAGAGGTTAAGACTTTTTAGTTAGTTAGATTTTAGACAGAATCTCATGTGATTAGGAAGTCATTGAGTTTATTTCACTACACAACCCCTTCAACGTGTGTGCAGATGCCAGTCAATCACGTCAGGCAAACGGTAAATGAAAATTTTTGCAGCATCATCATTTTGCATATTAAGCACACTGAGTTTGGCTGACGAGCTGGTGGAATCAGATCTGACAAACACCATTATCGTCATTGTTTTCATCAGTGATAGATCCCATCTGCTCCAGATCCTTTTTACTGTATGTGACGTCACCACTAAAATGTTCTTCATCACTACAGTCAGCAGATTTCTAGTGTCCTGCTGTTATTTATGAACAAAGGCATGCACATTAAAACCTAATCATCAATTTATTTCCAGAATATTTTTTTTATTTATTCTAGACATTTTGGATTTTAAGTTATAACTGTGCCACCCAGTTATGTGAAAGGCAGTTTGAGCCTCACAGAGAACAGCATGAGAGACCACACCTTCATAAGGTTGGAGCCCAAAATGAACCAAATAACTCATTACATTTCAACAAGTCCATGATTATGCAGGAAGATTATGGTAAGCAAGTTATTTAGTATTTTAATTGCCTTTCTCATCCTTTGTTTGAAGGTAGTCTTTGTGAAATGTTAGCTTAAAAACTTGAGCTTGTGTTAGCTTACTTTTTCTTTCACTAACAAGCTAATTAGAAAATGAAAATGTAACTTAATTTTAGCTGAACATTGACGGCTAACATGGTACATTAGGAGTGAGGTCTGCATAAGACGGTTTAAAATTAGCAGCAGGAGCACTAGCTCGTTCAGGTAGCCAGTTAAGTTAGCAGCCCGAGGTAAGTGCTAACCACTTAGCCCTGCTACTTAGCAATCTCACTGCATCTACTTAGGCACACACACACACACACACACACACACACACACACACTTTTAACTTCCTAGCATTGTTGGGACATTATCCTGCTTTATCATGTTAGGTTTAATTATACACCAGATACAAAAACTGTGACTAAATGCAGTAAAATAATGCAGTTCAGTGTTTTAGTTGAAAGTTGGTAACCATAGATACATATAATAGACTGACTACATGTCGCCTTGGGCTTCTAAGCATACGTCAAAACCGCCGCCATCTTGGAGCGGGGATCTGACGCGCCAAATTAGTTTTCCAGCATTCAGATCAGCTGTAAAGATGCCGGACTTTTGTGCTGCTTATGGATGTTGGAACAAAAGAAATGAAAAAAACAAACAGCAAGGGATAACATTCCACAGGTGATAATGTGTTTTATGATATTGAATGTTACGAAAGTATATTTCTGGTGATGAAATTATATTGTTTCAGTATCTATAGCTATGGTTGGTTCGGTGACGTTTTCAAAATAAAAGCACGACCGTCAAAAAGGTACTGCATGAAATATTGAGCTGTGAAGCCTTTAGGTCGGATTTTTTTGTGATTGTCATTAGATATGAGTACAATACAGGTTTAAAAGGAAATATACATACTATTAAGTGGAAGAATAATAAACCTACGCCTACTAGTACTGGTCATTACATTTTGAAGTAGATTATATTAATATCAAAAGCTTAAATTTTCTCTGGACTCGATCATAAATACATGTCTGTCAGCTGGAACAAACCAAAAAACTAAAAAATCGTTCGAGATTTTGACGATTTATGGTGATTTTATTTTTGTTAGATCTTTGCCTAGATTGACGCTAATGCATTAAAGGGGGGTGGATCCCCGCTGCAAGATGGCGTCTCTATTGACGCTTTCGTTACAATGAACAGCGGTAGTCAAGGCGACATCTAGTAAGTATATATATCTATGGCACTTAACCTAGTTAATGTGGTAGCACAATGGCATCCATACACTGGCCTTATCCCCCCATTATACTTTATTTATTCAAGTGTCTAAGTGAGTGGTTATCTAAAAGATTTGTGCCTGACAAAGACCATTTGACACTTACTGAATAAACCTCCATGAGAGCATCAATTTCAGTTTTTATGATGTGCACATAGCCTTGAATGTACATATGCATCTCCATGAGGGTCATTTCTTTGTGGAATTTGGAATAATTGATCTGGTTACACTGACAGCTATTCCACAAAACCATTCTGAATCAAATCTATAGTGCAGGGGGAGGCTATTGCACTATTTTCTTTATTACCTCCAGCTTAATAGATCCATTAGCATCCGGCACAAGAAAATACAAAGCTGTCACTCAAATGAATGCGCAGTGAAACACTTAACCCACCCACAAACACACAATTATACAGAGGCACACAAACACTAAAAGTTAGGGTTAAAAAAAGGTTAGGAAAAATGTCCGTCAGAAGTATTGTCATTGCAGAGAGATTTTGAATATTCACATATAGCCACAGTATTGATTTTCATGTCATGCCGTTGGGCTTGACATGATGGAATGGATCTGATGGTAATCTGTTAGCAGAAGGTGTCTGTGGATATAAAATGTATGTATTCCTAGTCTTGTCACATGGTCTCTTTGTTGAAGGCTATGCTCCATGTTGCATTGCAACATCATTCTGCAGAAAGATGATGTTGCATGGGCGGGAGGGGGGAATACATTAGACAGATAGAGAGAGAGAGAGAGTTTTTGATGTCAGTGCATCTTCCCTCTGAAGTTGAAAAGTGGGCTACAGAGAGCAAATACATCATGTGTACAATGAGATGAATCATATGCTATTTTCATACTGATTGCGTGATGGTTGTAATTAATATTTCAGTTGCATGTGAGACATTTTTACTGTTATTACATCAACAATTAAAGGACATAATGTTATAGTCTTCATAGAAGTAAGTGACATGCAGTAAAAGGACATATAGACTAAGAAAATAACAATACTTTTGCAAAAACTATAAAAAGTTATAGGTTTTTGTCCTATGGGCATCCAAACATAGACTAGTCACCATTTTTCATCCTATTATCTGTTCATTCTGTTTTACTCATCTGCTACTGAATGGCAACATCAAACAGCCCTGCATATGCCCTCCTGACGTGATGGAAAGAGGGAAAGTGGTGGAATGAAAGGGGAGGGAAAGGACATGCAGTTTTTATGAAGCATTCATGTTGTTGATGTTTTTCTCCGTGTCTGCTCCTGACATTAAACATGATAGAAGTAGGTTAGTGTAGATGTTAATGTATGGCACCACGTTGCCTTGCCACCTTAACATCAGCCTTTGACAGTCAAAAAGTGACCAAGCTGTGCAAAGAATCATGCCGCAGGAGAACAAGCACGCAGATAATGTATATTAGACAACAGATCATATCCATTTCTATTTTACAAGCTTCCATCTATTTAACAACTCCTCTTTCTCTCCATCTGTTTCCAGGAGGGAGGTGCCAGGAAAAAGCCATGGTCAGAGGGAGTCAAGACATGAGGAAAAAAATGAATATGAGGGCATTCCACAGCTTCGCCCTCATCTATGTACCTTACTTATGCAAGACGCAGCAGCTATTGTGAAAGAAAAGCGTTTGGCATAGAAGAAAACTGTGGCGAAAGAGGCAGCGCAGCAGGGAGAGGAGGACATTTGACAGATTAAAAAGAGGGAGCTCTGCAGCAGGATCTCCACCGTGCTGAATACATGACTGCGTGACTGGTCTGTGCAAGCAGAGGGAGAGAGGGAGGAGAGAAGGGAGGAAGGTAGGAAAGAAAGAAGGGGGAGGGGAGGCAATTCAGCGCAGTGCAAGCTGACTGGATGAGTAGCAGCCGCGGCACAGGCAGCAGCATCAGCACCACTAGCTGTAGCAATCTTTCTTTGTGGCTGCTGGAGGCTGTCTTGTGGCTGCCGTAGCATCAACATCATCCACATACACACCAATATCTGGACACAGACGTTCCCTCTGCTTGCCTTATACACACACATGTCGTGGTGGCCACCAGAGGAGAGGTAGTAACTGACGGGGCTCAGGGGACAGAGGGACACAGGAAGAGGAAACAGGGACGACCGGTGGTAGTGCAAACCAGAGGGGGGCTGGAGCAACGGTGACTGGAGCAGCGGCAGCAACAGTAGCAGCGGCACCATGGCACAAGCCGCCAAGCAGCTCCGCAAGACCAAGGACCTTGCGGAGGCCGCCGCCCAGGAGCAGAGGGAGAAGGAGGAGGAAAAGATAAAAAAGAGGAATCGATCCAGGGACCGCAGGCGCAAGGTATGGCTTTACTGTCTCAAGAGACAGGGGAGGTGACGGTGTTTCTTACATCCATCTTTCCTCCTCTACCTGCCTTTCTCGATCTCTCTAGCTGTCTGTCTCTCACTGCATCTATGTTGCAAGATTGGTGAGGATGCAATTACACATGTATAATTACACAGTGGCCTCAGCTGGTGCGTTTGTGTGTGTGTGTGTGTGTGTGTGTGTGTGTGTGTGTGTGTGTGTGTGTGTGTACGTGTATGTGTGTGTAGGCTAACCAGTCAAGCGCATATACTCTGGTACAGGTTGTGTTTGCTCGGTCAGATATTTAGCTCTGGGGGAAGCAAAAGGAGGCTGATGATGATTGTTATGCCGTTAGAGGTGTGACCAATATAGGCTGTTGGTTAAATAACAGGCAATGTCATTTTTTTCTTTGACATGACAAATAATTTGGGGGATTTCAGCCCTACGTGGGTGCAGCTCATTCATATTAATGCAATGCAAGTTCAGTGTACTGCACGTACATGTATTTTTATGCATATAATCACCTCACCTTTAACAGACTTTGCATGCTCTATTCTTTCCCTCACGAAGCTGTGCTGGTCTAAGATTTGGTGTCTTCCCCCATATTACAGAGTTTTTTTCATTGGGGGAGATGTAAAATGGAGGGGGAAGATGGAGGTACACTCTAATAATAGATGCATTTTTAACCCATCTTTATATCTTTTCTGGGGCATGTTTATGCTACATGTATTGTTCAATTAAGCAATCTATGCTAATGATTATATAATCTGCTGCTAGTAATGTTTGTTGTGTAGAATATTAATATTTAAATGTGTTGTCACAAACTAGGCACACAAGATTTCATCCTGTAGGCATGAGAGCTCTCATTTACTCACCTCTCCCCCTGCCCTCTCCCACTTCAGCTGTGCCTTTAGGTGCAGATTTTATTGGTCGTGCCGCCTTGCACTCGTGCCTGCCAGCACTGAAATGATTTATGGAAGCGCATATTATCTCATGAAAGGTACTTGTTGAATGGATAAAAAAAACTTTTATGAATTTTATCCCTTAGTGGAATTTACAACATTATGCCATGTACAGATGGGCTCGGTGTTCAATGCAAGAGCCGGCTCTCAGATGTTTTCTGTTCCTCCTGCAATATTTCTGTGTGCACATTGGTGACAACAGAGGATAGACAGATCTTTTCATATTCTCTTGTGTGTGTGCGTGTGAAGAGAGCATTTGTCAGAAGGACAGAAACACAAAGAAAGGAGCTAGTCCAAAAAAATGGAATCTGCAATGAGAGCTGGGGTGCTCATGGAGAGCATTCTCTTTTCTTAAGAGAAGTTACTTGATGTACTTTCAAAATAAACCACATTGTTTGTCCTGACCACAAAGCAGTAGGGTTTGCTAAGCTTTTCAGAGGCCATACAATAGGCTCTCAGCAGTATGTTCAGCGTGTTTTGCAGGTTTACTTTTTGTCGTAAGAACTCTAGTTAGCTGTATATTTTTGAAAAATAGGCCTCCATGCACTACGCTGAAATATTCTCTTTTTTTTTTATTTTTAGTGTAGAACAATGTGCGGAAACTGAGGTAATTAGCAAATCCTTAAATTATTGTTATGTAAAACATAAAATCTATAGTTTGATCAGTAGAAGGGCACTTACAAAAACAGTTCCATAGAAAAACAGTCAGATGGCAAAAAGATGAAGATTACATTGTGATGACACTTTATTATTTGATGATTACATAACTCATAACTAAGATTGGATTACACTGGACAAAGCATAACTTGTTCTTGTCATTTCCCCCTTTTTATTGTGTAACAAGGCTAATTTCTAAGGTCGGCTTAAGTTTCAACTGTAACTATGACTAGGCAGTAAAAACAACTTTGTTAATGTTTGTATGGTTTTAAAATTGTTATGTGTTATTACTCTGAATACACTGAGCTGAGAACTGATGATAAAATGGGAGTCATACCTATTGCAGTGTTTCCTAGACTATGGCAACCCACCATGGTCTAATTTCCCCTGCCATAATTTCTCTACGAACCAAAAATACGTTTACACTTCTTTCTAACATAGGGTTTTGTGCCGTTGCTTCAGCAAAGCATCTTTCACTCAAATTACATACGTACACGTGCTCGACCAATTAGTGGACAGTCTCACCTCGCTCTGCCCCTCTTACAGCCTACTGACAGTCACACTGCTCTGCAGAGAAACACAGAGAGAGAGACGCTCTCTGGCGCAGATACGGTGTTTATTTTACAAGCACGGACCAGGTAAAGCAAGACTGAACAGCAGTTAACACATCATTTGATACCAATACAATTTATTATATTTGATTTTAGTAGACAGAAGCAGGTACAGATAAACACATTTGGTAATTTTTTCTATAAATGGTTTCTTAGTTGAATATTCTAAAGCTGCAGTATAAGTATGTATATATTTGTGTTTTAGATACACGAGTTAGTTCAGTTACAGTTATAGTTAAGTGAGCAAGTATGAAAGAGGGGTCTATTGTTGGTGAGTAATGCTACATTATGTAGATCAGGTAGGCTTTTTTTCTAATTCCTTCTGTATCTTCTGCTGTGTTTTGTGACATTAAATCCTCTAGATTTGTGATTTGTGATTATTTTGATCTAGGCAGGCTCTTCCTCTTTACAATCCTTAGAGACCTGCTAATAATAAAATGAAACACAGTATAAATAACTTAAACTGATGACATGATACGGCTGTGGGAACATTTTAGTCACTATAACTGATCAAAATGAAAAACTAGATTACTGAGCCCACAGTTACTGCAAGCCCAAAACTATTAATGCTATTTTACCCTACAGTAGATATCATTTGATGTAAAAGATCTAAAAAGCAGTATGAGTGCTTACTCAACATCACTGCACTTAGTAGCCATCCTCTGACCTTATGCTCTTAACATTGGCTGCCCATGTTTTATTTTACTGTTCAAAAATCAATCAAGCTGTTATGTTTAAGATTTCATTAATGGTCATTTGATTCATAAACATTCTCCATCTGAACTGGCTCATTTGTAAAGACTTACAATGAAGTTAATTTGGATACACGAAAATATGCAAACCGAAGCACAATTTCTCAGTTCATCAAAATATAATTAACGGTCTCTTAGGTAAAATATTTCTGTTTTCAAGTATACATCAGCAAGAGCTCTCATCTTATTGTATCTTTGTTCACTCTAAAAAAGAAAAGGATGAAAAGCAATGCACAACATCAGTGTTGTTGTATTGTCCTCTACAGGATTTCACAGCTTAAGGCGCATTTCATGCTGCAATAAGGAAGAGTTTGTAGCAAAAAACAACCCATCTCTGCTTCACTGCTTCTGTCTGAGTGGCCTCTCTCCCTCACTTTCACCTCAATCATCCACCATGCCACTTTGTCTCTCTGTTCACTGTGTATCTCTCTCTGAATCTGTCTTTCTTCCTCCAGTAGATTGTTGCCATGCACCCAGAATGAGTGAAGAAGCAAGTCAAAGAGACAGAAAGGGAAAGTGGAGGCATGGGCAGGTCTTAATGTTCTGGGGATGTTAATTAGCTCCATTCGATGTAAATCAAACTCGGCAGCATGGCTTCTCTCTTCCCTACTCCTCCCCTTCCACAAAGGTCATCTACTACAGTGCTGACAGAGATTCTATCATAAGCCTGGATGGACTGAACAGTAATGTAGTTAGGGAATCTAAAAAAGAAAGTGTAGGGGTGTTCTGCTAGCTCTGCTGGTTAAGGTGCATGCCATACAGCTGCAGAGTCTTAGTTTGGAATAGATCTTTGTCATCTACTTCTGTCTCTCTGTCTGTCCTCACTGTCTTGAGGCACTGTGAACAGACCTGATTGTTAATAAGATAACTGCAAATTTACTTGTGTGCAACTGCATTGCCAGTACACATTAATATTTTTCTCCTCAGTCTAAAAAATAGCAATAAGTTGCTCATCAGAGGAATAAAGTCAGCTGTCTGTTTGAAATACAGCTAAATGTAATGCATTGCATCATATGTGGAATAAAGTGTGGAGTTCAATGCTTGGCTGCATTGACAGTATGTACTCTTGCCTCACTGGCTGTAGCAGTACCACTATGGATTACTATCTCACTGTGGCCATTATGTCTTGCATCATTGATCTCTGCTGTGTGTTTACTAGAAACTAGTCACAACACTCCAATGACCAGCATTGATTTATGCTGCTATGAATTAGGAATGTCCCGATCAAGTTTTTCTGGCCTTGATTCCTGTCCGAGTCCTTTAACACTCAGTATCTACTTACACTGAGTCTGATCAGAAACTTATATTTTACCAACTATTGATTCAAATATGGTCCTTTGGCTGTAGGGGTTGGCCTGGCTGGCAAAGGAGAGCGTTGCCATCAGGTGAAGGTGGAAAAAACAGTAATTGGCTATTGTTTTAGCCAATACTGATCCATTAGAAATATGCCCGGATCTCTACTATGAATACAAATCAGTTAAGTCTAAAATTTCCAAACACATGGAGATTTGGTCTCATGGATTGCAGCAAAAAGCCTGCAAATTTAAATTTTAGCTTTGTACACTTCTAAAAAAGTTGGAAACACACATTTGGACAAACATTGGATAGCAGTCAGCTGGGGCGTGGTGCATATTAATAATCTAGAGTACGTAATTACATGGCTGTGATCAATTAAAAACAATGAAGGAGGATTCAATAATGTGAATGAGGAAGTAAATGTAAGTGCTTGGGAATTGTACTAGTGATTGTTTTGGTTAATTTTCAGTTCTCTCTGTAACCAATGGACTAATCTGGGACGTGAAACCTTTTATTATAGTACCTCAGCATGAGGCTCCTTGGGCCTGTACATTTTCCTGTTTCTTCCAGGCCTGCACTTATTACAGTGGATCAAAAGATCTGCTAATGGATAGTGTGTGCTTGCTTGTGTTTCCAAAGTAGCTGTATGTGTGCACACATGCACATACAGTTTGTATGAGTGGAATAGCAGGGCTTCAGGGTATCTCATTCCATTTTTA